AGGCATAATGCAAGGATGGCAAAGCAAATTACTGTCATATGGAGGAAGGGAAGTTTTGATTAAGTATGTTTTACGCGCTTTACCTCTGCACTTGATATCAATAGTTAACCCTCCAAAAACTGTCTTAAAGCAAATTGACAGCATAGTTGCCAACTTTTTCTGGGGGAAGGAAGCTAACAGAAATAAGAGGCATTGGATTGCTTGGAATGATTTGTGCTTTCCAGTGACTGAGGGAGGAGTTGGATTTAGATCACTTCAATATATTTGTAATGCTTTTTCTGCCAAACTATGGTGGAATTTCAGGACTCAAAAGACAATGTTGAAAGAATTCCTGGAGGCTAAATATTGCAAGAGGTCTCACCCTGTGGCAAAGAAATAGTCTTATGGCCAGTCTCACACATGGAGAAGATTAATGGACATCAAGAAGGATGTTGAACCATCTACTTTCTGGAGATTAGGGAATGGAGATGTGTCTTTTTGGTGGGATAACTGGACAGGTTTGGGAGCATTAGCTACAGTGACTCAGCTAACTAGAGCTTCAAAGAATACAAAGGTAAAAGAATTCATACACAATGGGACTTGGAGGCAAGATAAACTAATAGGTCTTCTACCTGTGAATGTGGTCAATACTATTCAAAAGGTGGAGTTTGATGAAAGGAGAAAAGACTGCCATACTGGTTACCAGAAGGTACAGGAGCTTTCACTTGCAAATCAACTTGGGACCTTCTCAGGAGAAAAAAGGGGGGGTACTTCACTTGCAAAAAGATTTGGCATAAAAGAATGCCTTTCAAGATCTCATTTTTTATGCTAAGGTTACTTCAACATAAGATCCCTACTGATGAAGCTGTGAGGAGGTTTGGTATTGTGACCGTATCTAGGTGCAGCTGCTGTTATAATCATGAGGAGGAGACCATTGATCATTTGTTTAGTAACAGCCAAGTAGCCAGAAGTGTTTGATCCTTTTTCTGTAATTCATGTGGCATTAGTTTTGTCCCATTACAGATAAGGCAGAACCTCATGAAATGGTGGATGACTAAGGGAAACAATGGTGTCCACACTATAATGCTTCAATGTTTACCATCCTTAATATGTTGGGAAATATGGAAGAGCAGATGTGCAGCAAATTTTGAAAACATTCGAATGTCAGCCAGACATATCATTAATCAAGTGTCTAATACCATAACCTTGATACTTAACTGTCAATTCACTAGTCTTCAACTCCCTCATTCTTGGATAGACAAATGCATAGTTGTAGAGAAGATGTCACTAGTTATTCATTCTCAGATTGTTTACTGGAGGAAACTTGTGAGTGGTTATGTCAAATTAAATGTGGATGGCTGTAGTAAAGGCAATCCAGGTTCAGCTAGAGGAGGTGGGATTATCAGAGACCATCATGGTGATTTAGTGATGGCATTTTTTGATTTCTATGGCATTTGCAGTAATAATTTTGCTGAGGTAAAGGCAGTTCTACAAGGCATCCAGATGTGTTGCCATCATGGCTTGAAAAATATTGTTGTGGAGTCAGATTCACTGTTAATCATCAATATGATTAATAGGAAAACAAAGGCACATTGGCAGATCATACATGAACTTGAACAGATTTGGGAATTGACTCGAACAGGAGACTTTCAGTTTAAGCATATTTTCAGGGAAGGTAACAAAATTGCAGATCAACTAGCAAACCTGGGTGAAGTCACAAAAACTCATGGTATCTTCAACCAAGCTGTTCCCCTTCCTAGAGAGGTTAGAGCTTCTTTGAAGTTTAAGCAAGAGGAAATACCTAATTTTAGGTTCAGAGTGAAAAGGAATTTTTTTGTAATTAATGATATCATCAATTGATATTAGGATTAGACATAGCATGTTTGGGGCATATCTGTATGCTTGGCCATCTTTTGTGAATATAGATGTATCAAGTAGTAGAGAGGAGTCCATCAGACTTTTGTCAATTTCTTATATACAGGTGCACTTTAGATTGGTGGTGTCACGCCCCGACCTCAGGAGGCGCCACAGGCGCTCAGTCGAGTGAACCCGACTGAGCAAGCCTCTTTAACACTTTCTGCACAACTCAATATGATTTAAGGGAACCATGCTTTCGTTCATTTAGACAACAGTAAAGGTCGTACATTCAACATTGTTAGTTCATTTTTATATCACAAATCTTAAATCATGGCTAAGTTTCCAAGATTTCATACAGTTATAGTTTAGAAGAACCAGAGTATAGAGTTACAACACGGTTCACTAACCCATCCAACACCCATACATAACCCACACAAACGTCTACGGAGCCTCTACGGATACAAAAGACAATTATGACAACGCCGGCAACAAGGCCCCGGCTATACCTCAAAAGTGAAATCTACAACAAAAGATGTACAACATAACCCCTTGAAGGAGAAAGGGGCTCACCAAGACTATGAGAGGAGGACACTCCGCTACGCGCGATCGGCATTGTCCACTATAGAGCCACCTACATTCATTTAAAAAATGTTGCGCCCCCGGCAAAAGGGACGTTAGTACCATGGAATAGTACTAGTATGCATAACTAAACACCATCTAGTTAGAAAGAACTATCATACAAGAATAAGGAAATCACAAGTGTAACTCAAAAGCTTTAAACGATCACCACATCATCAAATAAAGAATCACATAACTTTCACACAATTTTCCATTGCTTTTAGTTTGGTGCATTTCATACTGTTCATCATTGTTTGCAATACCACCGCTATCTTGAGCGGAGTCCGATCTCGACCCGATCGGCTAGGTTGCCTCATGTGAGACATATACCTCAATCACAATCTCATTTCCCTTTTCCGGAATTCAATATCAGCACAATACCACCATGTGTGCGGCATGGCATCCGATCTCGGCCCGATCGACTAGGCCGCCTTACCAAGGCGTTGTTCCTTTCTCATTAATTATCCCGTTTCAATCTTTGTTTCACATATGTCATTTCATAGGCACTTGGGGCCACAACTATCACATCATTTTTGGCACTAGGCCACATTTCACATCATTCCCAATTTCAATGTTAGCTTTGCAATTTAGGATAATAAGTGCACACAAGAGTAATTTAAATTGTAAGCATAGATGAGATTTCACATAGATGGCACAACAAATGCAGTTTCAATCTTGATTTAAGGTCTAAGCATTTCAATACATGATTCATATTCTTCGCACCCTTTTTAAGTTATCAAGAATAACACATTGATCATATTGAGACACACCTTTCACGTATATAAAGTTGCAACACCAATTCATGTGAAATAACAATCAATACATCAATCCAACTTTAAATCTTACCGCATTTACACAAACACCAACGGAGCTTAATTTCTAAAAAGAGGAAGGTTTTAGCCATACATACCTCAATAGAGCTTTCCTTAAATTCTTACAAAATTCCGGGACTCTTAGCACTTCAATCTATTTTATAGGAATTACAAATTTGAACCAAGAATTAGAGACATGATTAAGATTCTAGCTCATTTGAGCATATTATAAGCACTAAGTGTGCATTGTGATTTTAGGACCTTTTTGTGAGAGATTTTTATCATCTTACACCCCAATTGCTATCTTTTTAACTCACAACCTTCCCATACTCTTGCCACTCATGCATGCAAGATTATCAACCCTTATACCCATGAACCCACTTGCTAATCACTTATTTTAATAGAAATTTCGAAATTATAGATTAGAGCACAAGTTCTTACCTCTTAGGGTGAAGACCTAGTAATTTCACTCGACAATATTCAAGGATTTGGGGCAAGAATTGAGTGAGGACTTGATGAAGATCACTCCCTCTTTCTCTAGAACTTCCTCTCTCACTCTATATGCAGTAAAATAATAGAAAATGGGTCTAATGGGGTGTTTTTAATGGGATGGGGTCGTATTTTGAAAGTTAGAAAATAGGAGCCCCGATACAATCTGCGATCGCATATGCAATCGCATAATTGACATGCGGCCCGCGAAATGGACCGCAAAAATGGCTTCAAAAATCTGAACAAACTGCCCGAGTATGCGACAGAAATGCGGTCCGCATACCTGTTCTGCGGTCGCATAATGCACCGCAGAACTGCCCCTCGCAGAATTCCAAGGGGATTATGCGATGACTATGCGGCCCGCATATTGATTATGCGATCGCATAATGGGCCGCACAGTTGACCTCAAAATTACCATCAAACTATGTGATTCTGCGGCGACCATGCGGTCCGCATAGCTATTATGCGACCGCATAATGGACCGCATAAATGTACTTTCTGGAAAACATTATTCCTTAACTTTTAATGCATAGATCAGTCCAAAGGGTCCGATCCGCGGCGAGCCTGGCTCGCCGCGAAGAATTTTACAAATTTCTAGCACATATTTCTAACTTGGCACTACGAGCTTTCGGGTTTTGAGTAGAAATTTTCACGGGGCCTTACAGGTGGTTACCAATCTACAATATGTAATTGAGGCTAAGGTGTATGTCCTCCTCCGTGTAATCAAAGTTTTTGAAATATACAGGTTGGAGTCCGGCCTAACTCCACCATCGAGATGATGGAATTTGATTAAAAAAAAAAATTAATGACACGCGCTAAAGTTAATTTTTAGTTTTTTTTTAAATGCTACATGGTAGATGACGTGTCAATCAATTTTTTTATTTTTTTGGGTCAGAAAAGTCTTCTATTGACAAAACTTGCCGCAAGCTTGATATTAAGCTCTCCATATTCAACTTCTATTTTTCTACTTCTATTTATTGTCAAATTGAATCAAATATGCGAATCTATCAACATGACTGTATTCCCATCTGTTCCCTTCGGAATTAGCAACTTTTTCTTTGCTTAATTCTAATAATAGTTTGATTTTACTCGTGATTTTTTCAGTCGGATAATTAAACTAATAATTCAGATAATTAAACTAATACAATTTTCTTAGTAGTAAATGGATTTCGTACTCGTCAGTCTGACATTTATCTATAATCTTTTAGCCGTTAACATTATCACTCTACGCGTATTTCTGGGGTCACCCACTGATGTTTAATTATTGTACTATTATTTCAAATTAAAGAAATGAACAAGAAACCACCTATTGGTTGATTCGTTCTATTTTAGTCCTCCCATATAAAGCCGTCTTTGCTGCGTATTTCTTTGTTAAATCTCCTATAATTTAAACCCAAATTCGTCTTCGTTTATTCTGGTTTTGTCGTCTTCTTCTACTATGTCGATGGTATATGGCATCCAAGGCCAACTCCTTGAAGTCACTGGTATCAACTTCAATCTTCATTTAATTATTATAAACAACTGAAATTCTTAAATTCATTCTCGTAATTGTTTGCTTTGAATTTTCGATTTTGTAGTTGTTGCTTGTATCAAATTGAAGGATACTGAATGGATTTCAAGGCAAGATCCCTACGTTTGTCTTGAATACGGCAGTTCTAAATACCGTACTCGTACCTGTACTGGTAATACTCTTATTAGCCATAAGTTGATGTTTAGTAGTATAAATTAGTTACTATTATAGATTAATTGCTCCCTCGATCCCATTTTATGTGATTAACTTTGTCTGGACACGGAATATATGAAAGAAAAAAAGATTTTTGAATTTTGTGGTGTAAATCATCTGATTAAGTGTGTAAAATGAGAAGTTTAAAGTTTAATTTGTTTTTAAATAAATTAAAGTAGCATTCTTTTTGGGATAAATTTAAAAAGCAAGCGCCTCATATAAATTGTAACAGAGAGATTGTATGAATGGAGTCGAATGAATAACGATGATTCATGTAGTGCATCCAAACTAGTTTTGCTAGATGCCGTCGGCTTTTCATCATTTCTGTGTGTCTATTTTTTTCTTTCATTTGGTGATTTTGATGAAATTCATGCCAATTTTTATGTAGATGGCGGGAAAAATCCTACATTTCAAGAGAAATTCGTGTTTACACTCATTGAAGGGTTGCGAGAGATTAGCGCTGTTGTCTGGAATAGCAATACCGTTAATACAGATGATTTCATAGGAAGCGGAAAGTAATTTCAAATCCTACTGCTCCTTTTTATTACTTCTCATTCAATTTTCTCTTTTTTCTATCTATTTTGTGCCTGAATAAAATAAAATGGATATAGATCATTTATAACCGACCTAAAGCGGCGGAACTAGGAATTTATATAAGGGGATTCAAAAAAGTATTAGAAGGTGATAGTTGAGAGTTGAACCTGTGACCTAAAGCAACTTTTGAACCTCATCTCATACTACGTATACTAGAAAGAGGATTCAACAGCTTTTACATAACCAAAATAGTTGCTTTTATCCCCTTTGCACGGTATAAATTTTCGACGAAGGGAATTCAGTTGAACCCCCTCCCCTTCACCCAATTCTGCTACTGTTCGGAGTTAGGCTTAGTTTGTTGAATGATCAATTTAGTTTTTGTTTAGTTGAGTGTTAATTTTTAATTATTTGTTCTAGGATTCAACTACAGAAAGTTCTGTCACATGGATACGACGATACTGCTTGGCCACTCCAGACGAAGAGGGGCAGGTAAATTAAGAAAAACTGCCATATTGTTCTTTTCTAGATGATATTGCTTCTTTTTCAATGTCTATCTTTCGTTTATAATTAGATTTGCCTGTATGTCCTGCTCCTTAGTTAGAATCCTTTTTTTTTGCTTGTGTTTCTTTGGCAAAATCTTGTACATTGTGCTTTACTCTTTTATGTGATTTTAATTTGGATCTGATGTGATTCCTTACATCCATCACTGAAGTTCTTCATTTCATCATTTTAGATTTAGACCCTGCATAACTAGCTGTCAACTTACTTCAGGCTAGTGATGCTGGCAGAACTAAATAAACTATTAGCATGAGTGCAGAAAAGTTAATAGCTTACGTGAAGAATCTCAAAGTAACACTGATTTCGAAAGATTTTTAGGTTCTTAGCCAAGGAAACCGGAGAAAGCTTAATATAATGATATGTTAAAGGTAATATGTGGTCACATAGGCAACCTAATGAAAGATACTGTAGATTGGTATTGCCTAGTGTTAGAGTAGATAAAACTATTGTTGCTTCAGCACTAAACTGTTATTAACAGAGCTTGTTGTGATAGAGCTACTTGACTTGAAGCAACAAAGAGGAGACATTAGGATCTTCTAGTTAAGGAATAAAATGATAGATTAAAGACTTGCAGAAGAGCATTCAGTTTGGTCTTAGCTTCTAAAGTCTTCCTGCTTCTGATGGATTAAATATTAGAACGAGTCAGTGATTAGCAGTAGTCACTTGCACCAAACTGAAAGAGGATAAATGGAAATTAACTTGCTCCTTGTGTACCTTATCTTACTTTTGTTAAGTCCAGAAGCAAATGGGGGATAAGTCATCCTAAAAGTTTACTATGGCTTTGCCAGTTTGTAGCAGAAGCTATCTTCCACCATTTTCTTTTCCTTCTACCTCTCAAATGACTGTACAGGAGATGGATTTCTGGCCTTTGTTGAAGAAATATAAGATGCGACGTAACTCATGAATTCAGGATTCAATTAGTTAGACTTCTTTCCATCGAACTTCTCCTGGCTAATTGTCTTACTTCCTCTCTTCCCCCATATAGACCTTTAGACATACTAGATACTGTTGGGCCACGGTGGGCCTACAGTTCAGGGTTACTAGATGAATCCGAGTAAGTTTCTGTCATTGATTACCTTGCAGGAGTTAAGCGAAGTCAACAAGAGGTGTTATTTCTTTGCTTTCATGATATATAAGGAGTCTAGTCAGCAGCTGATTCTTGAGACCATTTGTAAAGTAGTTGATGACGAACAAAGATAGCGGCTTTTTTCACACTTGTGTCTTCCTAATGTGAAGTAAAAGATATTTTAGCACGTTATGTTTTTCAGGTACGGAAAGGAATTAAAAGAGACATCATCGTGTCTTTATTCATCTTATAGGAAAAAAGAGAAGATAACAAAAGACAATTTTACATTTAGATCTTATGTCTATCTTTTCTAGATGATCTGAAAAGCTGCTCTCCTTTGGCCTCAACTGGCAGGACCTCAATGTTTCACTTCTGTTTTATTGCAAGTCTTTAGCACTTAATTTAAGCATCTAGGTACCCGAAATTATACCCAAAATCTTTTTTAAATCTAGTAAAGAACCTCGTGTATATCTCAGAAAGCAAGGACGGTTTGTGTGACAAACACTAATGGATTTCCTGTGACCATTTCTGGTGTCGATTAAGTTTATTTGAACCATGTGAACATAAGATTCCGAAGTTAACTGGATTTTTGTGAAGTTTTCTCGGGTCTTTTTGCACTGGCTGTTGGGATTGTAATTAATGAAATTGCACCACATAACAGTACTGTTGCTTGTATTTTCTTTTACAGGCATGCAGGAGAGGTTCGACTAATAATGCATTACGCAAATGCCAATGTAAGTGCCACCATATTTTCTTAGAATTTCTCCCTTGCCCTCGCCCCCTCCAAAACCGAACACGGACCTGTTTATATATCTTTGACATGACTTTTACTCCTCCTACTTCCAGAAGCCTGCAACAAGCCATGCTCCATCAGGCTCTCCATATGGAGCACCAACTCTTGGATCATATCCATATTCGGCAGCTCCGCAACATGCAGTTTATCACCCACCACCTTCTGCCTATCCAGCACCATCTCACCCACCACCTTCTGCGTATCCGGCACCATCTCCTTATCCCGCAGTCCCGCCTCCTTCAGCAGCATATCATCCACCATCTCCTTATCCTCCTCAACCGACTGCTTATCCTTCACCTTACTCATCAACTTCAGCATATCCACCTCCGCCTTATCCTCCACAGGGTTACTCTTATCCTCCAGGTAAATGTATTCTTGTAAGACCTGAACTTTTTTACTTTCTCCCGGCTTCTCAACTACCTATATATTTTAATGTTTTGCCAGGTCCATACCCTGGAGCCTATCCTCCGCGATCACACTGATGCTGTGTCTTAAATGCTTGGACAACGAATGTGCACATATATCCTTTCATTTAGTAGTCTTATAGCTTTGTCTGACGTCGTAATTTCAGGACTTCTCATGACATGGTTGTGATTGCTATACTGAGGCTGTATGATATTGTAGAATCTGAAAAGGTTCCAAAAGAAGCTTAGGTGTTAGTTGCCTGTTTTATGTTCCCTGAAGCGGAATGTATAGCAATAATCTATCAGATAGGTTTCACTGGCTTTTGTACAAGAATTATGACGCCTCATAGTAGAGTCTGGAATCACCGAATTGTCATTCTTGTTTACAGGGCACATTTCAGATTATATTCTTTGGATTTTTACATCATGTTGATAGTCGATATGCCAGCTTTATTTGTTGAACAAAGCAGAAGAATATTTTTCTCGGAATCTTGCCTCTTGGCCACTGAAATTGAATTTATCATGTAAGTTTTTTTTTTTTTTAAATTAATAATAGCATGTTGGATTGAGAATAGTAGTTTTCAAATGGTATGAACTTCTCTTCGATACTTGCAGAAAAGTATTTGTGCCTGATGATTATCAGTTCTTTTGCCATCTCTGTTTCTGTTTTACTTCGAGCAACAATGTTATTAAAGTACATACTAATAAGATAAGGATCGGAGTATCAACATATATCTGAGAGGACAAATATTCGACCTTAACTGTCTAGCACTTCTGTTTAAAGGGCAACCTAGAATATAAAGCATCTTGCGTTCATGCAGGGTCTGATGCGTTCATGCAGGGTCTGAGGAAGAGCCACGATTAAATATTTAAAAAATTTATGAGCCATTTGAGATATGAAGTGTCTTTGTAAGCACCCTTCATCTCAACCTTAAGATTGTGATTTCGAGTCTCTAAGGGAGCAAAGTGGGGAACTCCTGGGGAGAAAAACAAGTGTCTTTGTAAACGGGTACTCCCTCCATTTCAATTTATATGACACATTTTGCTTATCGAGAATCAAACTGCGTGAAGTTTGACCAACATTTTAAAATATATTTTGTTATCATATTGACATGAGAAAAATTATAACTTAGAGTAGTACTTTTCGTGTAGTTTTTGTATATCTAAATTTTAGTTTAAAATTACTAAATTGAACTAATTTAATTTAGCTTCAACGTTTAATCAAATTGACTCTTGATAAGCAAAATGTGCTATCTAAATTGAAACAAAAGATTACTACTCCCTCTTTTTCAAATTAGATGAGGTACTTTCCTTTTTAGTCTGTTCCAAAATAAATGACACATTTTTAAATTTGAAAATAATTCAACTTTAAACTCTTCACTTTACCCATCTTACCATTAATGAAAAGCTTTTATGACCACACAAATGTCATGGCCCCACAAAATCTTTTATCCTTTAAGCTTTTAAAACCACAAGTTTCAAAAGTCTTTTTTTTCTTAAACTGCTTGCCGAGTCAAACTACCTCATCTAAATTGAAACGGAGGAATATATAACACTTGAACCAATGGTGTCAACTTTGCAAGAAGTTACTATTGTCCACATTCTTTCTTTCTCTAGAGAAGGTGCAGAGAGGTTAATGGTGCATAGTTATGTCGCATCAGATTGAATGATTAAAAGTTTAAAACCATCTGATGAGTAGACATTTGAACTGCAAAATCATTTCGTTCCTTTTGACCAATTTAGACAAAAGGGTTCATTTGGTTTGATGAAGGCTAAAGCAATTTATAATCTTGTACTTATACTTTGGTTTTTCTATATAAAATTTTGCAGAACCTTCATATAGTAACTAATAGCTTAATCGTTTGGTTCACAGTATTAACTCCGCATGAGTTTTTAGTACATTTTTCTAGTGAATATATGTATTAAGTAATTTATATATGATAGATTGTCAGATAAGAGAACACATATATTAACAATACGTGGATAAAAGTATCTAGAGACAAACTATAATAAATTATCCATCTATCCCAAATAAGTGTTATGTCGAGGAAGAGGCAAAACCCAAAAATAACAGAAGATAAATAACACCAAATTTTAACGTGGAAAACCCATTCAAATCGAAGGTAAAAACCACGGGATCACAAAGATCCAAAAAGCTCCACTATAACAATACGAGGGTTACAAAAGTTCTCCAAATTGGCTGCACAACAAGTGTCAAACACGGAGGAACAATAGCAACAAGAGCAACAACTAATCAATTGAAGAAAGAGGAGAATCCACAAATATGAAGCTGCTGTTCGAGGCTCGAAATCAGATACTATGGGCCTCCAAATCCGATCTTCGCCATTCAAATCAAAGACCAATATATTACGAACAGTCAGCCAAAATTTTAGCCCGATCCAACGGTTAATGAATCGGAAAACGTGATTTGAAGTTGGCTGGTCGGAATAAAACTCTGCGGTAAAACAAATACTTTTCTTCTCTCTTCTCTCTTGATGAAAGCTCTCTCAAAAACTACTCTTATGTGCTTAAGTCTTTTAAAGACTTGTACCAATGAGCATAGAATAATTCTCAAGGTTGTCCTATTTATAGAGTATGAGTGGTGCTTTCTCTTAAAATCAAAACCCACTCAAAATAGGAATAAACACCGAATCCAATTCCGAATAGGAACAGAAACCAAAAAAGAATACGATTAGTCCATTGGGTCTTTGGCTGGACAACATGGGCATGTGCCCAACAAACTCCCCCCAACCAAGGGGCCAAATGTGTCTTCAAGTAGAGGAACTATTGACAGGCTTCATGCCTGCCAATTTTATGCAACACGCATGCTTATCTACTAGTTTAACTACAAAGTCCTCAGGCTGCTCCATATAAATCTCCCCAACTAAATCACCATAAAGAAAAGCAGTCTTGACATCCACCTGCTCAACCTCTAAATCTAGACTCGCGGCTAAGCCTAGAACCACACGAATAGAAGATATCTTCACAATAGGGAAGAAAATTTTATCAAAGTCAACTCCCTTCTTTTGGCTAAAACCTTAACAACTAACCTCGCCTTGTATCTAGGCGCAGAGGTATGGTTATCTTGCTTTATTCTGAATATCCATTTGTTAGATAAAGCTCTCTTACCTTTCGGCAATTTCATTAACTCATATGTGCCATTCTCATGGAGTGACTTCATCTCATCTTCCATGGCTTCGATCCACTTATCTTTTTCAGTATCTTGCATGGCTTCATCATAATTCTCAGGTTCTTTCAGTCAAAAGTACATACTCATCAGGAGGATAGCACATGAATTTTTGCTTCTCCCTTGTTGATCTTCTAAGAGAGGTTTCAGGAGCATTCGAAGTAGTTACTTGAGCAGGAATTGGTTGCTGATCAACCACAACTTCATCAGCTGAAGCATCCATTACATCTATACCATGATGATCATTTTGATCTTAATCACTATCTCCATCATTATCTTGGGTTCCTTCATGTGCAATAGATGCCTTAGCAATAGAAACTGCATCACTATCAACTAAGCTCTCATTACTCTGAGAATCTATCTTCTTATCTTTGTCAATATCTTCAATAGTCTGGTCTTTAAAGAACATTGCATCACGACTTCTAATAAGTTTATTGTCAACTGGAACGATACCCTAATTCATCTTGACCATAACCGATAAAGATGCACTGCTTAGTTTTGACATCCAGTTTTGATCTCTCATCTTTAGGAACATGCACACAAGCTTTACACCCAAAAACTTTCAGGTGATCATAAGAAATATCTTTGGCAAACCAAACTCTGTCTGGGACATCACCATCCAAAGCAACAGCAGGAGACAAATTGATAACATAGGCAACAATGTTAAGTGCTTCCGCCCAAAATGTATTTGGAAGTTTAGCCTCTGAAAGCAAGCATCTAACTCTTTCAACTAGAGTTCTATTCATCCTCTCTGCCGAACCATTCAATTGAGGTGTCTTGGATGGAGTTTTCTGATGACGAATTTCTTGTTCCTTGCAATAGTTATCAAAGGGACCACAATATTTACCACCATTGTCAGTGCGAATACATTTTAATTTCTTCCCCGTCTGTCTCTCAGCTAAGGCCTCAAATTCCTTAAACACACCAAGTGCTTAATCTTTAGATATCAAAGGATACACCCAGAGCTTACGAGAATGATCATCAATGAAGGTCACAAAGTAAAGTGCACCACCTTTTGACTTTACTTTAAAAGGACCACACAAATCAGAGTGTACTAGCTCCAATAATCGGGCTTTCTTGAGAGAGGATGGCTATTAAAGGAAACCCTTTTTTGTTTGCCAGCTAAACAATGGATACACCTTTTCAGCTTAGCTTGTTCACTCCAGAAAGCAAACTTTTCTTATCCAAACACGTAATCCCCCTCTCACTCATATGACTCAATCTTCTGTGCCACAATTCTGATAAAGTATCACTTTCCACCAGATTTATTTAGTTATTAAGAATAGAGCCCTGTGTCACATATAAATAACCAGACTTGACTCATCGAGCCACTACTAACGAGCCTTTAGTGAGCTTCCATTGGCCATTAAAGAGGGAATTATGGTAACCTTCATCGTCTAATCTTCCTGCGGAGATCAAATTGAAAGAAAAGTCTGGAGCATGCTTGACATCTAGAAGAATTAACGTTGAACCATTATTAGTTTTCAAACAAACTGTACCAACACCGAACACCTTAACTTCACTGGCATTCCCTATCTTTAACACTCCAGAATCAACAGGAGTATAAGATGAGAAAAAAATCTTTTCTTGGTGTGACATGTGAGGTAGCTCCAGAATCTACTATCCAGCTCGTCTCATGGGATACCAAATTGATGACATTTTCATCATAAGCAAAAAGAAGGTCATCTCGAACAATAGCAGCAACATTGTTCTCGTTATTTTCAGTTGTCTTCCTTCTCTAATATCTTGATTCAACTTGCGGCAAAACCTTTTGATGTGTCCTTTTTTGCCACAGTAGTTTCATGTAATATTATAGTATTTGGACCTTGACTTACTTCTACTTTTACCTCTATTCCTTGAGCCCTTTGTTCTATCTCTCCCCCGATCTTCTGTAACCAAGATATCTGCTTGTGAGGACGAACCCTGAGATTTTCTCCTTACTTCCTCGTTCAACACACCACTCTTGGCGTATTCCATGGTCAACTTACCTCCAGGAGCTGAATTTGTCAAAGAAACACGAAGAGTTTCCCAAGAGTCAGGCAGAGTATTAAGAAGGCGGAGTCCTTGTATCTTATCATCAAAATTAACTCCCGTTCCAGACAGCTGATCAAGGACGCCCTGAAAATCATTTATGCGATCAAGGATAGGGCTACCTTCCTTGTTTTTAAAGGTCATCAATTGTTTTAGCAACAACAACTCCTGGTTTTTTGAAGCATAAAGAGTCTCTAGCTTTTCCCACAATGATCTCGCATGTGTCTCGTTCACAATATGATTGTGAACATTATCTTCAACCCATTATCGTATATATCAACATACTTGTTGGTGCTTGAAATCCCAATCTTCATCAGATATACTCTCGGGTTTATGAGCTGAAAAAACGGGTAGATGCATCTTCTTCACGAACAACAAATCTTTCATCTTGCTTCTCCAAACATTATAATTTCTCCCATTTAAACATACCATCTTGCTCATATTTGCCTCCATTCCGTAACAACCCGGATAAATAACCAAGGCTCTGATACCACTGTTATGTCGAGGAAGAGGCAAACCCAAAAATAACAGAAGATAAAGAACACCAAATTTTAACGTGGAAAACCTTTCAAATCGAAGGTAAAAATCACGGGATCACAAAGATCCAAAAAGCTCCACTATAACAATAAGAGGGTTACAAAAGTTCTCCAAATTGTCTACACAACAAATGCCAAACACGGAGGAACAATAGCAACAAGAGCAACAACTAATCAATTGAAGAAAGAGGAGAATCCACAAATACAAAGCTGATGTTCGAGGCTCGAAATCAGATACTACGGGTCTCCACCGTTCAAATCAAAGACCAAGATGTTACGAACACTTAGCCAAAATTTCAGCC